GGGGCAGGGGGGAGGGGAGGGGAGAGGAAAGGGGTAGGGGGAGGGGGGAGGAGAGGGGCAGAGGGCGTGGGCAGAGGGGCGGAGGGCGGAGAAGAGGGGGAGAGAGACGTAGTGTGGCGAGACGGGTAGGGTGGGGCAGGGTGGAGGGGTGGAGGAGAGGAGCTAGGTAGAGGGGAAGGGGAGAGAGGGACGAGGAGTAGGAGGGAAGGAGAGGGGAAGGAGGCGGGGTGGGAAGGGGGAACGGAGAGGAGGGGATGGGCGCCGGGGCGCCTCCCTGCTGCGGTCTGGGCGCCGGCAGCCGCGTCCCTTATCCCGCGGAGGACAGTGTTCCTGGTGAATCATTACTGGTCCATTAGGAGAAAAGACGGAGCTGGAGCTGTGGGAGGAGGGCCTTCCGGAAGGGGCGGCGACCCGCCGCGGGCCGGCTGGGGCGCGAGGCCCGGAGCGGGTTCGCAGCCGCCTGCAGAGTCTCGGCTCGAGCGCAGTCGCTGTGCCCAGGAGGTTTCCGGTCACAGCACGTTTCTGGGCATTTCGGTTGTTCCCCGGCCGTTCTCACAGCCGCCGCCCTTCCCGCCCTGGGCTACTGGATCGCGCGCCCGAGGGGACGGACGTCTGAGTTGCGTCCCCAGCGCTTGCAGGCCCGGGCGGAGGGATGGGGCACTCAGTGACCCATAGTGGGGCCTACTGTGTGCTCAGTGCGGTGCCGGGTGAGTGGGATGTGGAGCTGGAATACAAGGCAACCAGGAGGGCCCCGGGAGACGGGCAGCTATAGGGGGTTCTTGAGGGGGCCTGACCGCGGTGTTTGTGAGCGTCAGGGCGGAGGAGGCGTGGGCCTTGAAAGATGGGGGCGATCTGCCCGGTGGAGATGTGGGTGCCCCAGGCAGAGGGCATGAGGTGATGGAGGCAGGGGGCACGAACTTGCTGGGGTTGAGGACTGGAGGAGTAGGAGGGGAGCCAAAAAGGTCCCGGGCCAGTTCGGTGCCCTGCAGTCCGCTGGGTGTGCGGCGGTTGCGAGGTCGGGCTCCTGCGCTCAGCAGCCGTGTGGCGTGGCCAAGGTAGCCTTTCTGAGCCTCCGTGTCCTCAGCTGTAGGTGGGACAATAGCTCACTGGTGTGAGGATTTATAGTGTAGGTGAAACTGGGGTGCCATTCCTAGCATGGTGCTGCTTAACAAACTTAGTCCTTTTCCCTCCTGGAAGGAGAAGGGAGTTGTGAGGCATCGTTGGACACTTTACAAAAACAGCCAAGAGCCAAATAGAGTCCAGCAGAATAGGTCTCCCAGAGTCAAATAGAACAGTCGCTGGCCTGGCCGCCACCTGCGTCTGGGATGCACATCCTGCCACAGACTGGGGCTGCACCAAGACTTAGATCTCAGCTTGTCTGTTCTTTGTTAAGGACTCTTACAGATCACACAGGACACTTACTGATACTGATTGCATCCAAATGGGTGAACACTCACAGAGACACACAGTTGATGGCTTTCTCTCTCTCATAGGTATATAGAACCATCCAGATTATCCTCAGGCAGAATTCCTTCCTTTGCTAGTCTGTGTTGGTTTGGGGATTCCAGCTCTAATGGTGGAAACATAGCAGGGTCTGAGAGGTGGGATCCCACAGCTGCCCCAGTAGAGCCCTAGGCAGAAGCTCTGGCACCAGCCAGGCCCGCACATGCCAAGCAGAGTGCTGTCCCTGAAGTCACGCAGCTTGCGGGTTGGGCTTTTTGGGGTTCTGACCTCGATGAGTCACTGAAGTGTTAAGAATGCCTTGGTAAGTCACTTCCATGACTCAGTTTCTTCACCTGTAAATTGGGAGCAAGGCACTGGCTGTTTAGCTTGCCTTAGGGCAGGTGCACTCTTAAATAGCCTCTCCCATGTCCAGGCAGTTGGTGGGTGGGACTGCCATTTTTTCGGGATGGAGTGGGTGCAGTCTCCCAGTGACATCAGTGCCCTGGCACGGCTGAAGCAACACGGAGGAGCCACAAGGAGCCTGGCAGGGATGGTGGCACTCCCCCCAGGCAGGGGAAGAGAAAGGCTGGAGAGGTGTGGTAGACTTGGCAGACAGCTGTCATGACACTGGGGTTCCCCAGGGGCAGAGTGTGGCCCTGTGACGCCCTGACGCTGGCCAGGGCAGGTGAAGCCTCCCTTCTTGCCAAACATGGGACTGTGATTTAGGAAGTAGCTTGACTGATGGAACATTCAGGGCTGAGCTGCAGAATGTGGCCATAAATGCAAACAGGTGTCCACCTTCTCTCCTCCCAAGTGCGCTGGTCAGCCGGGCCCTCCCGAGCCTGGCCCCAGCCTTCTCCAGGCAGGCCCTGCTTGGATGACAGGCTCACTCGGGGAGGTGCAGCCTTTCCGCAGAGCTTTTCATAATGGGATGCTGAGCAGACTTGGCTGGTGTGTCAGCCCCGTAATGCAGCACTGAGTGAGTAAAACGGCTCATGAGACCCCTCTTCCTTCCGGCCCGGCTGTAGTCATGTGAGAAGAGACGAAATTTTCCAGCAGGCCTCACCAAACACAGCTCAGCTGTCTCTGGAGGAGCCTAGGAAACTGTGTTCTCACTTCATCTTATCTGACGCCCCCTGATTTCAATTTGTCCCGTTTCTGAGATGTTTGCTTTCATCATTTGATTAAGATGGTATCTGCAAGGGCTCTCCACTCTAAAGTTACTTTTTCCTTTGTAATTATTACATAGTTTGTAGGGAAGTCCTTTGAAACTATATAAATACCTTTGAAACTATATGAAAACAGGTGTTTATCCTCATCAAACTTTTAATTTATTTACATGAGTGTGGAATCATGGATTCCTATGTTTTTCAATAGGTTGCAATGGATTACAAAATTTTTTATTTTGATACTCAAATTGTCCTCTGCTGGGCCAGTGGGAACCCCTTTAAGCTGGCTTCTTTGTCCTTTTGAAGTGTCCCCATCAACCTTTAAGCATTTCCTTCCTTGTTATAAGAATAGTGTAAGAATATGCTAGGCACGTTATCCTCTCTCTGCCATTGGTCCTAGTAGAACTGGTTCTTTTTAGCAGAGAATGGATTTAGAAACCAAGATTAGCGGGAGGCTGTGCTCATTACAGTTGGGATGTTGCTGCTCCTGGGCCCTGTCAGTGGACAGAGCTAGGGATGTACATGAAGATACCTTCACATGTTTACATCTGTACGTGTATGCTTATTTCTTTCTCTACCTGTGCTATTGAAAACAATGAGCTCACACCAATGCCTCAATTTCGATCCAGCACCGCAGGATTCATTCTACTCTCTTCCCTTTCCTTAGTTATAACCCTTTTCTCCAGCAGGGAGAAATCCGGCTGGCTTTCTCTGTGCTGTGACTACCTGTTGATCACCCCTCTTTATGTAACCGATCTCCCACTGCCACCAGCACCCTCCCCCATGTGGATGCTGCCCTCACCTGCCTTGGGCTCCAGCACCGTGCTCGCACACACAATCGTCTCCCTCATGCTTCTTGGGATCTCATCCCAGGGCCGGCCCCTCCTCCTGCATGGACTCCCATTGTGCATCTGCTTGGGTTTTGACACCGCACACCAGCATAATCCCCACACCACTGTGGGCTCTCTTCACCCTGCTCAGTGTCTGACCCCTGACACTGACACCCCCTGCATCAAACCGCCTTCTGCCCTCCTGTAGATGTTCTCTCTACCTGCCTGGAGTGAAGAGGGGGCTCTGACACCTCCATCTAGACCCCTCTCCACCTCCCGTGTCGACACCTACCTTTCTAGGCCTCACCCAGTGGCTTTAGGACTGACTGATTCAGGAAGGGAAAGGGAAGAAGAGCCGCGTGTTAAATCTTAAGCCTCAGATTAAGTAAATCTTAATTGTAAATGAGTAAAGTGAGCACGGTAATGGTCCCCAAGTGATGCAGTGGCCATGAGTGCTACCTGGGGTCCCGTGTGTGAAGTGCCCCCTGAGCGCAGTGCCGCTGGGGGAGCACTCAGTGTCCGCTGCCATCGTCATTACTAGAAACCAGCATCCCATTTTTATTGTGTCATGTGGCAGGAATACATTAGAAACCTGCAGAGGAGAAGGACGGCGGGAGGAGCGGGTGCCAGCGGCAGACAGTCAACGCGGGAGGACTGCTGCGCTGTCTTGAGAGAGCGAACACTCCTTGTTTCACCTCGGTTCAAGTGTAGAAGCAAGGAGAAAAGGCTGGGAGGGAACATTCTAATATGTCAAGAGTGCTTATCTTTTTTGGTGGGATTGTGTGACTTAAAATTTTTTTTATGTGTTTTCTAAAATTTATTTAATAAATACTATTTAAACTTAGGAAAAAAATATTGTGAAAGGGGACCCTGGTTAACTTCAATGTAACTCATTGAAAAGTGCTCTCAGCCTGACTGGTTAGTTGTGTCTTTTGCTTCTTCCTGGTAGATTTTGGAGTCAAGAGTGCCTGGCTTCAAACCCTGGCCGTGCCGTTTACCAGCTGGGGGGACCATGGGCAAGTTAATTAACTTCTCCGTGCCTTTGTTTTTTGCTCTGTAAAGTGGGGAGTCTTACAGTGCCTAATTCAAGGGTACTTAACAATTAAATAAGATACGGTTCAGAAAGCACCTGACAAGGTAAGCACGCAAACATGTTGGCTGTTAATGTTATTATTATTTCATGGGAAGGAATGTAGTGAGGGTTTCCTCAGGTGTCTCAGAGGAAAGAATTCCTTCTCTGAGTAGGCTCAGCTATGCCCCCCTGAGTTAGTATCTTGTGACTAACCCAGAGGCTTCAGGCAGCTGGGCCTCCAAGTGGAGGCAAGGGTGACAAGCCGAGTCATGGGAGGTGTTTTTTTCACTTCTTGGATGGGACCCAAAGAGATCACTTCCTTAACTGACTCAGCATCCTGGCGTTAGGAACTGACTGGCACCCACAGGACAGATGATCCAGCTCTGTCTGAGTTGGTGTCCAATTTGGGATTTGCTCTTTTATCCATTCACTCATTCTGTCATTTGGCTGTTAACTTCACATGTATTTATTAAATGCTTACTGTGTGTCGGGCGCTGATGTAGGCAATAGGATATAGCCATTAAATGCAACTAAAAATATATTAAAAATTAAAAATACAATTAGTAAGGGATTCAGATATCTGTACAACCATCTTCGTGGCGAGCATTATTCACAATAACCGAAAGGTAGAAGCAGCTGAAGTGTCCATTGATGGATGAATGGATAAACAAAGTGTGGTTCATGCATACAAAGAAATTTTACTCATCCTTTAAAAGGAAGGAAATTCTGACACATGCTACAACATGCATGAACCTTGAAGACATTATGCTAAGTGAAATAAACCTGTCACAAAAGGACAAATATATGATTCACCTGAAGTACCCAGAGTAGTCTAATTCATAGGGACAGAAGGTAGAGTGGGGGTGCCAGGAGCTGGGGAGAGAGGAGGAATGGAGAGTTAGTGTTTACTGGGCACCGAGTTTCAGTTTGGGAAGACGACAACATTCTGGAGGTGGATGGTGGTCATGGTTACACAGCGAGGTGAATGTACTTAATGCCACGGAACTGTATGCTTAAAAATGGTTAAAATGGTGAATTTCATATTGTGAATATTTTTCCACAAATTTTTAAGATGTGAAAAAATTGTGATAATACCTTTAGATAGTGGAATAAAGCATAGAAATTAAGTTCATGAAAAAAATTTGCCTAACAGATTTAACTTCTACAATTTGTTTTCTTTTAAAACTTTTTGAACAGACACTTCACCAAACAAGATACTATATTGACAACAAATAAGCACATTAAAAGATTTTCAACAGGGGCTGGCCCCATGGCCGAGTGGTTAAGTTCGCGCACTCCGCCGCAGGCGGCCCAGTGTTTCGTTGGTTCGAATCCTGGGCGCGGACACGGCACTGCTCATCAAACCACGCTGAGGCAGCGTCCCACATGCCACAACTAGAAGGACCCACAACGAAGAATATACAACTATGTACTGGGGGGCTTTGGGGAGAAAAAGGAAAAAAATAAAATCTTTAAAAAAAAAAAAGATTTTCAACATCATTAGTCATTAGGAAAATGCAATAAACCGCAATGAGACACCGTTACATACCTATTACAATGGCTGAAATTGAAAAGATTGATCATACAAGTGCTGACTAGGATGGACAGCAGCTGGAACTCCCAAACTCCTGGGGAGAATGTAAAAGGCTACAACCACTTTGGAAAACAGTTGGGTGGCTTGTTAAAAAAGTTAGACATACTGTCATATCATCCAGCCATTGAATTCCTACATATTTAGCCAGGAAAAATGAAAGCATACGTTCATACAAACAGAAAACAGCACGTGTCCATCAACAGAAAAACGGATAAGCAAACTGTGTTACATGCATAGAAAAGAATACTACTCAAGAATAAAAAATAAAACCAATGAACTAGCTACTACATGGATGAATCTCAAAATAATTATGCTGGGTAAAAAAAAAGCTAGGCCAAAAAGAGTATGTACTTTGTGATTACATTTGTATAAAATTCTAGAAAATGCTAACCAATATATGGTGATAGTGAGCCAATCAGGGGTTACCTACAAATGAGAGCCGGTGGAGGAGGGCAGGAGGAGATTACCAGGGGACACAAGGACATTTTGGGGGGTGATAGGTAAATTCATTTTCTTGATTGTGGCGATCCTTTCATGGGTGTGTACATATGTCAAAACTTATCAAATTGTATGCTTAAATATGTGTAGTTTATTGTATGTCAGTTATACATTAATGAAGCTGTTAAAGCCAAAATTAAAAACAATTTTAATGCACACCAAAAAAGCAATTAATAAGGGATAGGAGTCTACAGGCGCACAGGTAGACCTGTGCATGCGGTGGTGGCGGTCAGGTGAGGCTTCACAGAAGTGACCTGAGGACAAATAAGTGTTGTCAGGCAAAGCTGGGACAGGGTATGGTCTTTCATATGGAGGAGGAGAAACGTGTGAAGACTCACAGGCAGGAGAGAGCCTGGGGCTGGCACTCGTGTGGCTGGAATCAGGGAGGTGGACCTGGGGTTGGCGGCGGAAGAGATATGAGGCCAGAGAGAGCAGCAGGGACCAACTGTGCATGTGCATGGAGAATGACTAGAGGCAGCCAGGGGGTTGTCACATGTGCAGTTTACAAAGATACTCTGGCTGCAACCTGGGAAATGAGCTGGAGAGGAAGTAGGGTGCAGGCAGAAATCCAGGTGTTAGGTAAGAATGGGTGAGGACATCACCTGGTGGGGAAAGGTCCAAGACAAGAGCTGTCAGGATATTTCACTTCCCTTCCTCTTTTCAACGCCCTGGAGAGTTAGGAAATTTTCTCGTAGCCTTACGGAAGAGGAAACAGAGGCTTGGAGCAGTTGAGTAACTTGCTTATGGCCACAGAGCTTGTGAGCAGGAGATGTGGGGTTTCCAGTCCAATGGGTTCTGAGTCCAAAGTCCACAATGCTCACAGGCTTCTCTCTAATTCAAGTAAAAGGCATCTGGGATGACTCCCTTCTCCCGTTGCCTGATTTCTCACCCTTACTGTGGTTCGTTCTGTGACAGTCTTCCCTTGGGAGGAGGCAGGGTGCCATGGGAGCATGTAACAGAGGATGTAACATCATCTGGGCGGTCAGGAAAGGAGGGCTTCCTGGAGGAAGGGACATTTCAGCTGAGCCCTGAAGAATTTGAAAGAAGAGGAAGAGCTAGCAAAGGCACAAGGTCGGGCAGTGGGGCATGAGAAGGAGCAGGTGTTCTAGAGTGGAGAGAAGAGCGTGTGAGACTGGTTGGGAGCAGACTATCATGTGGCGTGTTTGAAAACCAAGCTTGAGTGGCTGGATGATGGTGTGAGATGCAGAAGAGAGGCGCAAGATTTGACACTGATGTCTAGCTCTCTGGGAAGCAGCTTAAAGCATGGAGTGGATGGAAGGGAGACCAGTAGGGTGAATCTTGTTGATCTGATGGTGAAATCCTGCCTGCCAGGCAGCTGCTTGTTGTGGTTACCATGGAAACATTAGACCGCAGACCCAGAAGCATCTAGTCAGCCCCTCTCCGTAAAGATGATGAGATTAAGGAACAGAAGGGGAAGAGACTTGCAGGCTTTCCTACTGGCAGCATGGAAACCTTTTTTAAAAAATATGTATAGTGGTAAATAGATAGAAGATTGACAATTTTGGACATTTTAAGGGTAGGGTTCAGTGGTAGCACGTACGTTCACATTATTATGCAACCATCACCACCATCCGTTTGCAGAAATTTTTCGTCATCCCGACCTGACACTGTGTTCCTATTATGATAAGTCCCCACCCCCTCCCCTCAGGCCCTGTAACCACTGTTCTTCTTTCTGTCTCTGTGGATTTGACAATTCTAGGTGCCTCATATAAGTGGAATCATGTGCTTTTGTCTTTTTTCACAGATACATGGACAAACAAAATGTGGTAATATACACACAAGGGAATATTATTCAGCCCTAAAAAGGAAGGAAATCCTGTCGCATGTTACGATGTGGATTTACCTTGAAGACATTATGTTAGGTGAAATAGCCAGTCACAGTAAGACAAATGCTGTGTGATTCCACTGAAGTGAGTTCCCGAGAGCGGTCACATTCATAGGGACAGAAAATAGAGCTGGAGTTACAGGGAGCTGGGGGGAGCTGGGGGGAGGGGGAGTGTTGTCTGGTGGGGACAGAGTTTCAGATTTGCAAGATGAAAAACTTCTGGAGCTCTGTTTCACAGCGATTTGAATATACTTCACACTACTAGGCTGTACACTTAAAAATGGTTAAATGGTCAATTTTCTCTTATGTGCTTTTAACCATAATTTAAAAAAATGACTGGTGGATGAATTGACTGACTTTATCCTCTGCACCCTGGCTCTCACGGCCCTCCGAAACCTGCTCCCGCTGCATGCCTCACCTGGACATGCCTGAACATCACTGCATCTGTCTTGGCGTGCACTGCTCCCTCTGGCTGGAACACTGATTTCCTCTCCTCCCCGCTCTGCTGAAATCCTTGCTGAGCTTTGCAGACTCAGCTCAAGTGCGCGCCACCGTGCTCTCTCTGCTCACTGCGCTCTGCTGTGACTGTGTACACAGCATTGGCCTGGAGGTGTGTGTTTGCTGTTCTTCCTTTGTTCCCCCCACGTGACTGAATTCCCGAGGTGGGAGAGGATGTATGTGTTCCTTCCCACAGCACAGTCCAGTCCAACCAGCAGTAGGTAGTTGCTGGTTTCGGGGGGCTCTTGCATTGATTGCTCCCCCATGAGGCTGTGTCTGACCCCTTTTCCTGTCTGTTTGGGCCTTCTGTGCTGACCTTGTCCCTTTTCTGGGCTACAAGCTCACAAAGGGCAGAGCCTGGATTTTCATCTTTGCATGTCCCACAGCACCTTGCCCAGCACCTGGCTCAGAGGGGCTGCACACATCTTTGATGGTTATGGAAATGGGTGAGAAGCCACAGCTGCTGGCTTTTTGCCTCTCTCCCTGAGGAGAAGCTGAGAAGGAATGCACAGCCCTTTCCTTCCTGTCCTCTGTGAATGGTGGACTCGGTCCTAGCTGTCCTGCTGCTTCAGCATTTCTTTGCGCTGGAGCAAGTGCAGCTGCCAGGGCTGCAGAGAAAGGGGATGAAGGAGTTGCCTCAGCCATCTCAGAGGATTGTACTTGTTGCCTTTAGGGCCACCAGCCAAAGCCCTTTTCATTAGACCAGACGCGTTGGCTTGAAGCTGGCTGGGCTTCCTGTCACCAGTGGACTCTCTGTTTAACATCTCAGCTGGATTTGGCTGAGTTGGAGATCTTGGGGAAAATGGCGGGTCCACTTTGGTGGATTTGCACATTGCTGTCTTGTATGCGTGCCCGTCTGCAGGCCTGGCAGCTTCCTCCCTTGTCTGCCTTCTCCTCGGAAGCTCATCAGCAGGGGGAGCTGGATCCGACGACTACCTAATGGAAACCAGACTTCTGTGAACGCGGAGGAACAGGCTGAGAAAGGGCCGGCTTTCTCTGGAATAGTTTGGATTGTCGTTATTTTTTCATTGGAATGCAGATGACGTGCTAAATATAACAGTTAAATGTCGTGTAAGTTTTATATCTTTGTAAAGTTTTTCATGTAATTTCACTAACTTAAAAAATCCTTTGGACAGCCACTAGCCCTTATTTTTGTGTTACGAGAGCTGTGGGGAAACTGAGAGGCAAGACGTTCCAGCTGGGAACACAATTTTCTGCTTCTGAGCAACGTCAGGCATTGCCTTTAAGACGTTAGACAGAAGACAGAAGGCTAGAGTTAGCGCATTTCTGGGAGGCCTTTTGAAAGCATCCCTAAGGGCCTCTCTGGAGAATAGTAAGTCCCCAAGTAACCGTTTCTTATCCTCCAGTTTGCCAGCACCTTGACCTTGTTGCTGATTCCTGATCCTCAATTCTCGCTTTGAGCTGAGACTTTTATATTAATCATGCCCTTTTATTTTCTGATGCTTTAATATCTGGAGCCTTGCTGATCCTGGAAAGACTGCCCCTCCCAGGGCCAGCCAATTCCTAGACACGGTAGAGACTTGCCTGGAACTGTGCTTTTCACGTGTAATCCAACCAATTCCCCAACCACCTCCTTCCTGGGCTCTCACACTCTGGGCCACTGTCCTCTGCCCTGATCACCCGAGAGCCAGCTACTGGAAACAACTACGGACAGCATCTGTGCCCTAGAGCCCATGAAATTATTCAGAGTAGCTGATCCTAAACTTGCTTACACTGCCTTGCCTTTCCCACAAAAGCCACGGTAAAGGTCCCTGCTTATGTTTTCCTCTGGCTCTCTCTGCCTCCTGACCTAACCTGGTGCTTCCCTATGTGACGCACGCTGCTCCCATGGCATGGCGTGTCCCCGATTTTTAGGGGTGTGTGAGTATGAAAAACTT